CAAACAAACTCCCCAGCGCTACTGAATTTCCCTTAGATGTTTTCGCTTAGCTGGCATCGGACCTCGTCCAAACCAAATGTAAATTTTAGTTTATTTCTTTTTTGTTTAACTTGTATATCTTTCTTGTTAGGTGTTAATTGTTTTGCTGCCTTTGTGTCCTCCTACCCTTTTTGCCTTTTGTCTCCACTTTATAATCATCACCTTCACTTTAAATGATGAACTAGTTATTTGCTCCTTGAATGTGAGGGGCCTGTCCAACCCCCTAAAAAGGCGGGAAACTTTCCGTTGGCTTAAGACAAAAAAATATGGAATTTTTTTTCTTCAAGAGGGCTACTTTTAAACAATGCCCCTCAGAATATAATTTGACCAATACAGTTAATTAAAGTACAAGTGACAAATGGGCAGATGGGTGATGGAGGACCATAAGGCAGGCAGCCTTCTTTTAATTGTTAATATATAAACTATAGTATTTTGGTGGACTTTGTCCTTCCTTTTCTTTATATTTATTTCTTTTTTTGTAAACGATAACAGTTACCTGTAATGAATTGTAAATGTAATGTATTGTAATTGTTTGTGTGTGCGAAATAAAAAAAAATAAAATAAAATAATAATAAAAAAATATCAATTAGACTCATCTTCCCTGATCATGTACTCAATTCTCATGACCACTCTGTTTTCTAAAGCATTGATATTATAACAAGAAATTACGTGCTGATAACTCTTAGTGCTTAAAGCGTTAAAGTTCATTCAAACACTCGACCACACTGACAGCTCGCACTAAAAATGAGAACCAGCTGGCCGTATGGGTGATTTTGGAAATTTTTTGAACGGTTTCACTAAAAGCCCACGATTGATTGTCCTGGACATTGAAAAATTGTGAAATGCCATATTCTGTCCGAGGTCTGTATGATAAATAGTAATGTTTCACCTAAAATGTGATGTATAAAAAGTATAAAAGGTTGGTTTACACACCCTCAGATTTGTTGGCAAGAATTTGTAAAGTAAACCTGTCGAACGCAAAAAAATGCGGCCTGTTTTGTTTTCCACTCTAGAAGTATTCTAAACGTTTCCACTGTTCATTTGAATAGCATTTGACATCTCATATGATGTTACTTATCGAAACCTGTATTAGGTGGACATTCTGTATTAAACGGACACTACAGCGATGGGTGTCCACTTAACACAGGTTTCACTGTACAAAAAAAAGTTAAAGAGTGCAAATGATTGGCTAGTGTCAGATGTTGGGTCTTTTGAGCATCGTGGATCTAGTGCTTAAGTCTATACAATCTTAAATGGAAAAATTGTTGCGAGTAAAGTTTGGGCTAATAAAAGGCTTGAAGACCTGGTGATGGAAGATGGCCAGTATTGGGCTAAAAATGTGTTCCACGGACACAAAAAGTACCCAGACTTTCTACGCACTAGCACAACGATTCTAGATTGTTCCAAAACTGAGCTACAGCTTGGTTTGATCGAGCACTGCTTCAAAAAGGAAGAACATCACGTTAGTCCCCACAAAAACCCTCAATCGGGGAAAGCTTTCATCCCCACAGCACCGTCCACGCTAGAGGTGATCAAGACAAAGGCTAAATCTCACAAAGGTCCCTCGAGCATATTTGACGAGTCTGTTCAGGAGGCAGGTGGAGTTATTTACTGTGAAGTAGCTGCTGACATGCCGAGAGATGTGAAGCAAATTTCAAACACAAGGCAGACTCTGAAGGGAAAAGAAGAAAAAGACGAGTTTGCGTCTTTACCTGGGTTAGCAAGGCAAGATCCAGCCATACGAAATTTGCAGTGGAATCCAAATCCCAGGGTTGTATTTGCAACCGATCAGCAACCAGCGGAAATAGTGGATGAATGTTGTAGCCCTACCTCCCAATGCATTTTGACAATCGACACTACATAAAACATTGGAGACTTCTATGTGACATTAACGACTTATCAGAGAACGAAATTCATCCAAACTCGAACAGGAAAACCAGCAGCACTTCCTGGACCTGCTATGTTACATGTGAGGAAAGATGAGAAAGACTTTAAATACTTCAGCCACACTCTTCTGGAACACAATGACAAAATCAAGCGCATAGCGTTTGTGGGAGGAGATAGAGACATGGCCCGGCAAAGTTTTTGTCCCCCCTTAGACGGTGTACATTTCTTCCCTGCAAGAAGCATGTGGAGGACGATACCAGTCGTAAAATTGATGACCTTGGATTGAAAGACATCAAGAATGAGGTTTTGTTGGATATTTTTGGATCTGACAAGTGCAAGGAGAAAGGTATCGTTGACAGTCTCAACGAAGAAGAATTCATTGCAAAGGTCAACAGTCTAGTTGAAAAGCGGAAAAGCATGGAAAAAGTGATCTTCCCGGAGAGAACTCCCACGTTTGCAGATTATTTGCGAGATCGCATCGAAGAAGATATGAAAGATGGTAAGCTTCTTTCCATCAGGAGGAAGCCTGGCTTAAAAGACAAATTGCAGCAATTTTAAGTACAAAGCAAAAAACCAAAGAAGCAAAAGTGTCAAACAACCCTGGTTACCGTCCTAAATTTGAAGTGTATGAGGACAAAAGCCCTGGTTATGTATAGAAAGCTAGTGGAAGTAGCAAGTAGGGACAAGCAGATGGCTGTATTGCAGAAGGGCTTCTTTGTTTTATCAGAACAATACTGACATCTGCAAGTTCCCTTGAACAAGTGGTCTGAGATGACACTGAAACAAAAACAGTCCCATCTTGCAAAGGTGGATGTGTCTGCTAAGGAAAATCCCACAGTAGCACTCAGTTTGGAAGATGATCAGGCGCCGAGCACTTCAAAAGTCAGAGAACCAGTATCTTGTGCAATTGGAGCTTTAGAAGATTCCAAACTTCCAGAATGTTTGTGCATTTCGTGGGTTAATGCATGCAAAATAGTTGACCTCTAAGGCATGGCCAATCACCCCATTGATCCAAGCAAAAGAACAGTCATTTCTTTCAGTGGGTCTACAACCCACACGGTGAAGATGGGAAAGCAGAAGAAGCAGCTTTATTGTGATGAGTTTTGTCCCCGATTCAAAGAGGTGGCGATTTGGGCCATACGATTGCCGTTGCACACAACGAGGGACGTCTCTCAGAATTTATTACGTCCTACAAACTACCAATGAACTGTCTAGTACGCTCTGGCATACCTGGAGGATCTGGTAAAAAAAACAAGAACCCACCAAGATATGTGACCCAATTTGGTGAGCAAGTACATGTAACAACCGAAGATGCAAATGACTAAATACACTCTCCGTATGAAGTAGTGTTTGTGCATAACACATCAGCCACGACCTGTTATGGCTGTAAAGGAAGAGTCAGAGATAAACCCTCATCTCCGCTCCCTCCTGCCCCGTTTGATTTATTCATTTGTCACCGTGAACGGAGGGTTTTCAATCGTCCTGGGGAGACCAAGATTAGAATCAGCATAAGACCCAAAATGGTGTATTATCATCCACTGAAATCCTGTACAAATTTTGACGACGTCGATACAGGAAGCCATGTCGTATCTAAGGACGGCCATCGACTACTCAGTGGTGTCCACTTGCGTCATCTTAGAAAAGAATTTGGTCTAGAACTTGAATAATCTGCTATACATTAGGATGATATCACACAGTTAGGCACTGACCACAGTAACGACTTTACAAAATGTAGTGTTTTCATCGTCATCATAAATGCATCGATATATTTGCGTCCACACTACCGTTTTGATACGTTTTCGACGTTCCACATTATAACAGTCAAAAAGGATAAACTTGCAAGCTGTTACATTTAACTCCATGTGCATACTAGAAACACATGTGCCTGCGCTATCTTCGGTCATATTTTTTATGCATTTCGACCGTCAACACTAATACTATTTGTGTGTGACTTCCTTATTGTCCTTTTTAAAAGCACTTTCAAATCGTTGCATTTTTGATGAAAAAGCTCAGCATATTAGTGTGGTCGGAAGGCCGGTTGGAATGTCAACATTTTTATTTGCAGTTTTTGGTCGAAAAACAACTGTATAAGGCATTCTCCTTAGTAGGCTATCGTTTTTAAACGGGCTTGATAGTACATCACATCAGTTTTTTGAGCAATGGAACCTTAACCTATTTAANCCATCGACTACTCAGTGGTGTCCACTTGCGTCATCTTAGAAAAGAATTTGGTCTAGAACTTGAATAATCTGCTATACATTAGGATGATATCACACAGTTAGGCACTGACCACAGTAACGACTTTACAAAATTTAGTGTTTTCATCGTCATCATAAATGCATCGATATATTTGCGTCCACACTACCGTTTTGATACGTTTTCGACGTTCCACATTATAACAGTCAAAAAGGATAAACTTGCAAGCTGTTACATTTAACTCTATGTGCATACTAGAAACACGTGCCTGCGCTATCTTCGGTCATCGTTTTATTTTTTATGCATTTTCGACCGTCAACACTAACACTATTTGTGTGTGACTTCCTTATTGTCCTTTTTAAAAGCACTTTCAAATCGTTGCATTTTTGATGAAAAAGCTCAGCATATTAGTGTGGTCGGAAGGCCGGTTGGAATGTCAACATTTTTATTTGCAGTTTTTGGTCGAAAAACAACTGTATAAGGCATTCTCCTTAGTAGGCTATCGTTTTTAAACGGGCTTGATAGTACATCACATCAGTTTTTTGAGCAATGGAACCTTAACCTATTTAAAATTCAATTTTGTTCAGAAATGTAGTAAAGCCCAATGCTTAAACGAATTGAGTTCCTACTTCGAGAAGGACATGCAAAGTTAGGTAGAGTTAAATTGCGTTGCACTATATCAATTTTTATAAGTTTGTTCCAGTTTGTGAGGTTTGGTTCTTTTTGACCGAACAGTTGTTGTTCATGGGAGTGGCCTAAATTAAGGTGACAATATCTCTTACTTTACAATAGTTTTATTTCCTTGATTATTCAGTATCTTCGCTCTCAAAAGTACACGTTGTTTCGTTTGTACACATATAGATCAAATCTAGGGGGGAGTAACCTTTAAGTTAACACTGATTGGTAAGATTACGGATCAAGGATGTAAGTAAACACTTTAGTGATTATTGTAAGTTGTGATTATCATATTGGAGCATGGCCAGTTGAAACTGGATTTCCCCACGTGAAAAAATGGAAAACACCCCTTCTAACTTGAGAAAGGCTGGTTATAGTTCGCATTGACTGTTTTGTTTTCTTATTTGACTGTTAAGAAGGCATATTATCATTAATTCCTTGTCATTAAGCATCATCTGGCATATTATTGGAAAACGGTGCTCTTTAAAATGAAAGGCTGGTCCAGGGCTGTTCTAATTTCAAGGTTTGGCTAGCTTTCGCTTTTGCGTCAGTGATGGGAACAAAGGTCGCTGTTGCTTTCGCAAACATCTTCATGGCGAAAGTTGAAAGAGAGCTATTAAAGAAAAGCACAATAAAGCCTATCTGTTGGAAAAGATATATAGACGACATCTTCTTTCGCCAGGATAATGGAAGAAAACAAATAACACACTTCATTGAACAAGCAAATAATCACCACGCCACTATTAAATTCACAGCATGGACTGGTTGAAGTCTTGCTTTGTTTTCAAAGCGAACGTTAAGCCTTTGATGAATGGTTGATTTGGTAAGCACCTCGTGGACATCTCGCTCTACAACACTGCTAATATATAGATCTAGCCAGGGCTAAAAGCAAAGCTCGTGTTAATAAATTCATAATTTAAATCAAACAATAAACTTGTAATCCAAAGATCAGGGCACATTCATTTGGCTTTTGAGGCAAAGCCTAAGTGATTTTAGAGAAAAATAATTTGACTGCCCAAGAGTGAAACAAATTTTACATCGAGTTATTAAATAGTCTTATTTGTACACCCAAAAATAGCAATCATGTTCAATCACAGTAGATTAAGCCTGGAAAACAAATAGACCTATCTGTGTATTATATTTGCATTATCTGTTACATCATAATGTGGCATTCACCATTCTCTCCAACACTTTGTGGGTTCACACAAGGCAGTAAGTCTGTCTTAGCCTAAGTCAAGCCAAGTCACCCTAAGTCCGCTTAAGCGTTCAGACGTATCTAGAAGAAAAATTCTTTCCGTGCAAAGCTGTCATCATTAACGATAAAAATAACAGATAAGGTAACCAACATCATAAATGTGGTGAGGTAGTCACGATCCATTTTAGCGAAGATTCAAGAAGTTGAGATAAAAATGAAACCGAGAAGCCGTAAAGAAGCGGAAATTGCGACTGTTGTCTGTTTATTAAATTTACAAAGGTTGATCAGCCAAATAGCCTTACAAAATCTTATGTTCCTTCGTGAAAGAATAATGGAAGATTTTGTTCAACAGAGTGACGGCCTGCTTCTTCTGACCGCCCTACTTTTGAGCGTTCACCGAAGACAAAGTAATTTTCGGCACATAAGAAGAAGAGCGTGAGCCTGGCCAAGACCGCAGAACTTGTTTGATGTAATGCTAGCATCACCTCGGATGAATGTTCTTTGAAAACCAAACTTTCGAATGGAGAAACGTTTGACTAGCTTTGCCGAATTCTTCGTGGTGATCTGACGAGACAGGAAACGAGATTGAGAAAGCCTGTGTCTGTAGAGAAGCATGTTGCTGTATGTGTTTGGAGACTTTCTACATCGCATAAGGTGAAAAGTCGGTAGCGTAATTGCCTTCTAACGTTTCGTCCTCTTGGCGATGCATCTTCAGTTAATTTTGTTCGTGAGAAGAAACTGTGTCGTGATTTCTTTGCTTTTTGCGCTTAACGCGGGAATCTCTATCTGATAAAACCCACGATTTTGAAATTTTTTTACTATCAGGTTTCTTAAGTCAGCCTTAAGTCATGTTTGAAACAGACTTAAGAACTGCTTAAGTCGTTTCAGTTTGCCGACACTAAGACAGAAATCACGCTTCTGTGACTTAGTGGTTCACACCTGTCATTTTCACTAAGTCGACTTAAGAGATTACTAAGTCAGACTTAGTGGTCTAATGTGAACCCAACTACTACTCCGTTAGATAGACTATGGATAATTGGACAACCCCGAAATATAATTCTAAGAAACACACGCACCACAATAGTCCTTGGTGGCAGCCAATTTACACGTTGCATACCTCTGTCTAAAAGAGAGGCAAAAATAAAAAATCAGGCCGGATTTTTTGTGTTCGACAAGTTTAGTTTACTAGTAAATCTTGGCGACGAATCTGGTGGCGTGTAAACCAGCCTTTTAAACATACTTTTTCTCATCCCGTGTCAGGTAAACAGTACTATGAGGCCCTTTTTTTTATCATACAGACCTCGGACAGAATTTGCTCTTTTTTGCCCTATTTAAACCTATAATTCTGCAGTTTTTCACAATTTTGCAAGAGAATTTGCACTCATTCAATATCCACGATGTTCAAAGTACGCGCTTTGTTTGCACAACAAATTATAGCATTGAATTATAAAACGTTTTCATGAAGAGAATTCTATAATGCCAGGACTTTCCAGTTAGAAAAATCTGGTGCTATGTGATATGCAGGGTAACAATTATGGGCTTTTAATGAAAATGATAAAAAAAAATTCCCCAAATCACTTTTCGGCCAGCCGGACGGGTTCTCACCTCTGACAGGCACCAAATTTGCAGTGCGATTAATCACAGGTAGCCCAAGCACAAAATATGAGCATCAGCGAGCATCGGCATTGTTGCGTAACATTCAAAATATAAGGATTTGTATGGGAAAAAAACCTATCGTTTCCATAACCTACGAAAATGAAAGGATTTCAATAAAAAACAGCTTACCTTACTTAAAATGTGACGTCTCTCCTGTGTGGTCCACGGGCCGATTTATAGCCGTTTAATGGGTTTTTATGTAAACTGTTTTCTCTCTATATAAAGGTTTACCAAGGTTGGGCACTCCAGCGAAGCGGCTCGACCAATCCACCAAAGGAAAACTGCCATAAATTCGCTCCAACTGCCTCCAAATTCCGCTTAGGTAACACATGACAGTTCCATTCGTTATCTTGCTTCAAGATGCCTTTGCACTGAGAGCAAATCAAAGGTCGCAAATCTCTGCAGCCTTTCACGCTTGAAGCCATTGACTGAGGCTCGGCCAGAACTCCGCGTCATATCTTATATTTTAAATGCATTTGAACAATGCTTTGAAAGTTGATTCTATTACTTGTTTTCGACAATAGCTATTTTATTAGACTGAATTAAATTCAACATCTGAAATTAAACCAAGTCTCTCAGTTTCTACAGTTGTGGTACAGTACAGCAAGCTCTTGCACCTATTTATGTCTTGTCACCCAATGCTCCTCCTCCTTTGTTGGGGAAGGGTGCTGTGTGATGAGACAAAACACGGCTGTGAGGGAGACTAGCTCAGCACGGAAGTAACATGACATTTCAACCGTTATTTCATTAATAATAACAATAAGAAGAAAATAAATATTATGATTATTAATGATATCAATATTGATAATAATAATAATTCAAATGAAGATCTGGATCAGCTACTGATTACTGAGCCACAATACCGATTTTGAAATAACATGCATGTCATTATGCGGAAATTATTACATTTTGTGTTATTACACTATGCATCTGCATCAAACCTTGAACAAGATCTCTGTAAATCCTGTGAAGCTCACAATGCTGTTGCAGATGTGAAAAAACTCTATCGGCTGGTGAAAAGTTTTTAAATGTCAAGGTGCTACAAAAGCACTGCTTCAAAGTTTCTTAGGAGGCATCCTATCAGAAGCTCCTGAAAGAAAAGAAAGTTCTGGTTAATACCCTGCAGCCATTAGTCAGAGAGAAGTATGTGTCAGCTTCAATGGCCAGTAAGTCTTAAGCTCAGCTTTGGGTCTCCATCACGTACATCTGGCATACCAAAGAGGCAAGAAAGAAGTGCTGAAGCAAGTTGTGATGGAGAGGTTTGCAGGGCCGTACATAGTGGGGGGAAGGGTTGGCAGTTGCCTCCGCGAGGAAAACGAAATGTCTTTTTTTCTAATGTAGTGTTTGATTTTGCTGGGATATTTCTCATAGCTATATTGGTCCGAAATTTCAAGAAAACCGACTAATTCACTGAAAAATCTTCCTTCGATGTAAGTTCCAAATAATTATTTTGGAAAATCTTTCAAGGCACAAGCCAGTACGAGTTATGACAATAATGATTATGTAATTTGGGCTGCCTGTGGTTCAGTATTTGGTGGGAAACAGTTGACACGTGTTGCTTGCCAGGTTTGCAAAACGTTTCTCTCTCAATCTACTAGGAAAATGTTGGGAAGAAAGCGCCCGGCTCCTGCTCAACGAGGTATAATGGACTTCTTTGACCCCCCAAAAAGGTAACTATCAAACTACAACGTGTGTTATTTAATACATCTAATAGTTGCCTTGGTTGCTGTGTTCATTCTTTGCTCGTTGTAGTATGAAAATCGGTGAGCCACTTCACAGTTTTGTAGATTGGACAAAACAACATGAAAATTCAACCATCCAGTGATTGAATACTCTATAAAATTAAGCTTAAATTTTTCAAAATTTGATAGCTCAAATGATGAGAACAACAATGAGAACAATGATGAGAACCAAACAAGTGAGGAATCGACTAGCACGGAAAGTATGTTTAATACAGTTGAAAGAATTTATCATTTGATTTTACATTCGGTTTTCGCAAACCATCGGCAGCGTTGTGCAAAATAGTGTCAACAGTACTCTGATTTTTGGAGGGCTTATTGATATGATTTACTGAAGATGCCAAGTTGCAGAATCTGTTTGTGATGTTACATAGCAATTAATTTTCTTTTACATGATAAGTATTTTTATAAGTATTTTCCTTTTAGGTGAAATAATGATAGAAGAAAAGCCCTGGCCCACTGAAGTTCTGGTAAAAATTTTTAAGTGGTTTCCAATGGAGGAAAGACTTCAGCAACTGGCACCAGTGTGCAAACTCTTTCACCAAGCCGTCCATACACCAAAGCTGATACTAACTCAGAATTTACACTTTGTTCATTTTATTCTCTTTTTGGGCACACTAAA